GGAGAGACTCTTTGCATTCCTATTCTTAAGGCTATTCCCCTGGCCTTGAGGTTCAGTGACCTTGATGTAGGGTCCTAGCTACCCACAGTGCATGCATGTGTGCACTACATGTAGAGACCTTGGGGTACCCGCTTACAACCACACGTAGTGGGTATACATCTCTCAAGCTACAAACTTGGGTGTGCAAAAGTCTATGTGATGCTGTTAAAAAAAAATAACAGATCTCACCCTAACTTAGAGGTCCTGGTCTGCTAGTGGTTCTTGTCATCTCAAGGTAATTAATTCACTTTGGGTTTGAAACTAAGTTCTCTTTTGGTTAATGGCTGTTTATTGTGGGCCTGTCCCCAACTCCCTTCTTCCCTTCTTTCTCAGGGGCATCTGGCCTTAGGAGAGGTTTATGGAAGGCCTTGATATTGGTGATAAGGGGAGCAACTGCTCCTTTGGCTTCCACTGGGACGTGGCATCCTACTAAGCCTACTAAGGCATGACCACTGCTCTTTCTCTCTGCTGTGTCCTCTGAGATGCCTGTGGTCCCACATGCAGACAATGTGTGTGGACAGTGCCTGCATATCCACACACTGAATCTTTTCTACTCCAACCTTAAGTCTTCCAGATCACTGGTTCTTTCAGCCCTTCCACAAGGCTCTTCGTTGGGAAGAGCCATGGATTTTTGGATGCCCTCCCTGGGTGCTCTGGGACTGAGCATCTGTGAGGCTGGTCAAAGGCTCACTGCCTAGACATTGTCAACCTACCATTCAGGAGACCATTGGATGTAAGATTTTCTACAAGTTTTGCTATCTCCTGTACTACCTCCCGTGAACCAAACAACAGCATTTTCCGTTCAGGAACGCTCCCCATTCCCCAAGCTTGTCTTGAGTTTCTGTTTTCCTGTCCCTTTAAAGTTGGGACTCAGGGTTTCTCATGGGGCCTCTTCTCAGGGATTCCAGCAGACTCTAAGCCTTAGTGGCTTCCCTCTAATTCTTTTTTTCTTCCCTAGTGTTCAAAAGCTGGTCAGGGATAAGAAAATGAGGTAGGAAAGCATCCTTATATGTATTTCCCCAAACTTGGTGCTCTGTGTTTTGAGTCTTGATAATCAGAGATAAACTTTAAAAATTAAAACAACTAAGTTACTCAACAAAATACTTGAATCTTGAGATTGAAAGCCATGGTTTTCAAGATTTTTGTCTGTTACAAATCTGTAAAGTCTGCTTGAGACTCAAAACCTAGGAGTCTGACTTACCTCTAGCTTGGAAGCAGTACATGTAAAAACCTTGAGGTTTGATAGTGGAGGAAAAGCAATGAAAAATAAAAGCATATCATCCCTTTTCTTTTATTTCTCTTTGTCCCTTTTTAGCAGAATTGCTCAAGTTCTATAGCTTTGAATAGCAGCCTAGGTACATGTCTTGTTTTTTGTTTTTATTTTACCGAGTCTGTAGGCTCACCAAAGTCAAGAATGACTCTATTTCTCTAACTTCCTATGTGTCTGTAATGATTTGCTTATGATTAGTTGGATGGAACCCTTTGACTCTTTGATGCCATGATGGCTGGTTATCTCAATATCCAGAGCAGGCCATTCTGCCCAGAACTTCTGCATAATACAAATGCAAGCAATCCTGCTAATTGCAATAAGAATTTAATGTGTTCAAGGTAACCACACAACCTTATTTTCTGAAGTCTGAGCATTTGGGTTGAAAATTGGGCAGAAAGAAAATTCAAGCTAAATTAAGCATTTTTAATTGATAGGGGGAACTACAGTAACTACATTACATCACTCAAGTCTTATTAACTTTAAAGGAGAATCCCATTTTCTGTGCTATCAGTCTCTATGGAGAGGATTTTGAAAGCAAAAATGATTGTAATATGCTTGTGCATCTGGACATAAAATTCCTTAACTGGGGGAAGCATAATGAGATGGTTCCTAAAGGCAAGTTAAAACTGCAGCATTGAGCAGAAATTTCTCATTATCTATAAGAGTTAATTAATAATGCCATTTGGCACAGTTAGATGTGCAAAAACAGTACAAGAAGTAAGAATGTGTTGCTTTCCTTTTGGTTTTCAAGGCAGTTGAGGATACCTTTAAATTGCTTACTTGGAAATAGATCTTATAGTAGAAGAATCATGGGCTTGGAAACTAATTGGGTTTCATTGTTTTGCTGCTTTGCCCACAGATGGCTCATATAGAACATGATATATTGCTAGTCAAATACAGTGAGGTATTTGGAAATAATCTTCCTTGGATAGGTTTATAATCATATGATCCGGCTGATTTTCCTAAGGGCATGATCTCTATCCACCATGTATTCCTTAGGTAGTTTTAATTTTGCTGGTGAAACTCTAAAATAAATCAGCTTATAATTTTAAGTCTGAAACAAAATAAGCTCTATTATTTTTTCCTTATTGCATTAGGTTGTAGACAGGCGTGTTAGGGAACAAAGTAGACAACACTAAGTGTTCTGTAGTTGCTAATGTACTTGCTCAATCTTTCCATACCTTTCTGCTCTCTTCTTAACTTTAAACAATAATTCTCAAAGTACAATCCACAGATAACCTGCCAGTGTTAATAAAAACTCACACCTACTACCTAATTTGAAGTCAAATTGCTGTATTCAATCTAATTTTAAAGAAAACTCATGCTTACCTGCTACTTTTAAGTAAAACAACTGTATTTAGGATGGTTGAGAAAAAACTCACGTAAGAAAAGCTATGTAAAAAATTTTTATTGTGTTCAAATACTCTTGTATTGATTGTTTTAGTGAAAACTCATGTGCATGACCTAATTTTGGAGAAAACTGCTATATTTAAACTAATTTTTGTGAAGGCTGATGTACACAACTAGTTTTAAGCATTCATTTGCAGGTTTTGTTAAAAAAGCCAATTCCTGGACTCTACTCACTGAAGGGGAATCTCTGGAGCTAGAGCCAATAATCCATATTTTAAAGTAATTTTGCCAGGTTATTCTGATGCACACTGCAGTCTGAGAACTAATGACATTAAAATAGAGTTTGAAGATTTTTCTTTCATCTTGAAGCCATTTTTTTCTAAATATTTCACTTAAAATGCCATGGCCCTTGGTCAGGTCACTGTGGTCTTAGAGGTCATTTGCCTGGTGGCAGAAGTGGTTGTCTGAGAGCATGTACCTAAGCAGGAAGACGAAAGTGTAAGGAACCTAGGTGTCTGAAATGAATGGAGGTCCCTCAAGGGAGGAAGGGGACACAGGAGCAGTGAACTGCCTACTTGACGATTCTGAGCGGGCTGGCCGCTTATAACTAAACATGAAGATTATCAACTACATGTGATGAGATTTCTGTCTCAAAGATGTGCAGTTTCTTTTTGAATTCTCCCTAGAAGGGAGTCTATTGAATATTGAAGGCCAATATGTGCTGTGTATCTTGCTTGGAATTAGTGGTCCTCTTTCTAGAATCAATCAACAAATAGTAACGACATATTGAGTGTCAATTAAACATGCACGATTATGGTTTAGGTCACTATTGCACTCTAGATTCAAAACTACTATTATCCTCCCCCAATTCTAGGCTAATTAAATTAGAATTTCTAGAGATAAACTTCATAACTTCTACTATAGGCATTCATGTACTGCCAGTTGGGGTCCTTCTCTCTTGGGTGCCTCTGCCATTGAGTTTCAATGCCTGTGTGAGTGGTCTTACAGATGTTTTGAACCTCTAAATTAGAAAACCTGTTTTCCAAACCCACTGTTTTAAGATGCATGATAAATCATATTTACCTTCCATAGGACCAAAGAGCAATATTTAATTTCTTTGTAAGGAGCTAACATCTTTTAACTAATATTTATTAGAAGACAGAGATTTAATTCTCTGTGCCATTGTATTATTTCATTAATTCTCATAGCACCTATAAGTCAATATATTATCTTCATTTTACAATGAGGAAACTGGGGCTCAGAGAAGTTAAAAAATTTCCCCCAACAATAAATACCATTGTTTATTGAATGGTCACTATGTTTCAGGCATGTTATCAAGTATTTTGCATATTATCACTGGATGAGACATACATTATACTAGTGTTCCCTGGGGTATGATCTTTAGAACAGTGGTCTTTCAAGATGCTTTGGGGAGAAAAAGATGCTGTGGTCTAAGTTTGGGAAGTGCTGGGTACTTTTTCATCTTGTTAAAATTCTCAAAGTATCATAACATATTAAATACACTGACACATCATGCAGTAAAGGGATGTTTGGAGTGGGGTGCCCTGGGTTACCTGACCATGGAACTCTTACTGGAGTAACACTTGCCAATAGAACCCATTTTGAAAACTACTCCTTCAATATAACCTTAAGAGCCTAGAAATTATATCTTATTATCACGTAGTATGAAACCAAGGTTCTAAGAAATTCAGTCACGTGTCTACAGTCATTTAGCACATGGCTGTACTAGAACTTGAGCCTGAATTTGGCTGATGTAGAAACATTCTGTTTTGATTCTAAAGTCTAAGACTTCAGGTTTCTGACTCTGGCATCTATTTCTCTGTCAGTAGAGCTGATATAAAATTGTTGAAATGATTAAATGTAATGCTGTATGTGAAAACATTTTGAAAATCATAATATTTACACATCAGAATTAAATGGTTTACAGTTTAAAGCAGTACACAGACATTAATCTTATCCAAACTTTTAATTATACTTTTAAAAGATAGTCTCTATAGAAAGGCAAGTTTTGTTATTGTTAACCCTGATCATCTATACTCATCAATCACCTTTGAACGTTTTTTTGTAGCATTTTGGTTTAGTAAATTTTCCATGGGACTATAAACTTGTGGAATCTGTGGTTTCTATATACAGAATCAATGGATTGTAAATAATATAAAATGTATCCCAATATTTGTCCTGTGTATTGATGATGAAGATGTGAACTCTGACTAGGGCAAACAGCATGTTTCTTTCACTTCAATTATAGTAAATAAATGTTAGTGTAATTTACAGATATCTTCTTAAAAGTACATTTATTTAAAGAAGAATGCAAGAATGAGAAGCAAATCCAGGGCAAGAGTCAACTTTCCCAAACATGCTTTACTGAAGAAATATAGAGTTGATTTGGAGAGACTTGTATTAAAAAATTGGAACTCATTTAAAGCTAAGCAAAGAGAGGCAAATGATACATGATTGCAGAGATGGCGTATCTCTACTTCTGGGAAATACAGTTTAGGGGATCACTTCAAAAGGTGATCCCATTAAGGAGAACAAAGACCAACTGATCCCATATTGAGGGAAGATGAAAGGCATCTTCAATTCCCTTCTCACTGTGAAGAGGTAACAAACTTAGAGAGAGAGCAGCCATCCACCATCACAAAAATTAGGTCTGTAGTTGGCTTTCTTTTTCACCAAGCTGAGCTAGAGTAAGAATTATTTACCGCATTTTGAATGCAGGTGGAAAATAAATCTACAGAGATCTGTTGCTAATGTGTATGAAAATACTTCCCTCTGTTTATTTTCTCCTCCTTGCCCATCTCCAGAATATACTTGGAATGAACTGATACTGGCAAAGGATCCAGGGGAATTAGTGTGAAAGTGGCGATACTCAGAAAAGATTGCTACAGGAAAAACCACTCTATCCTGCGTGAGTGGGAAGGAAATAAAATAACATCTTGTGAAAACACGTTCATCAATGCAGAGGAAGGATGGGTGAGTGAAAACAGAAGATGCTATTCATTAGTTCCTAGCTTAGGACTTTGCTTGGAGCTTACAAGAAATAATATATAGCTTGAAAAAGAAAACCAGGTTTTAAGAGACTCTGAGCCTACAGTCTATCTGAACCCATAGAAGACTGTTAAGCTCTACAAGGAGATATTACTTGAGAACGTGATGTTAATGAATTTCTAACCAGGGATCTTCTTGACTACATTGTGCCTTCCTGAGTGATGTTCACCTTAGCAAATGCTCATCTGTGACACTAGAGATTTTGAATTTAGTTTTCATTTTCTAGTTCACATTTCTGAATTTTTAAAATTGAAGACATCTTTGAGACTTCATGTACATAATACATTTTAAATAGTGGAATCAATGTGAATTAAAAATTAACACTGTTATGGAGTTATTACAAAAAGACAAGGCTTCGGGTAATTTGAAAGTGTGGCTCTTTAGAACAAATGGGACAGGAAGAAGGAAGATGAAAAGAATTCCAGAAAATTACCTTTTCGTTTTCATGCTTTGCACTATTGAAAGTCTGAATCTACTTTTCCATGAGGAAAGAGCTGCTTATTTTTAATGCATGAAGACAGAACTAAGATCATTCTCATGATGGTAGCAAATTCCTGTATCTACACGTAACTTGCAGTGTGTATACCCTGAATATACCTCTTTTTTAACACATGATATACATCTGCTCCCAGGGCATTGAATTCAATGTTTAGAATACATGAGTTTATCTTAAAGGGATAGGGAATTATGGCTATGTATGCTTAGTAGATACAGATATCATCAACAACACTGATTAGCAGAAAACAATTTCTACTGGGTACACTTTAAAAAAAAACTGATTATACAGTATGAACTGAGGACTGTGTCCAAATCTCTCTTTCCTCTTGAATTAATTTGACACATTCTAAATCCATAGTTAAAGTGGTTCCGGAAGTGGAGTTGGTTGGATGGGTTTGCTTACACTGCAGTCCATAAAGGAAACAAAAAGCCTTGCGTGCAAAAGAAATGAGAAAAAAAATATAGAAAAATGAGTAAACCAGAAGTGAAAATGAATGTTTAAATGAAAAAAATGAAAATCTAAATCAAATGAAGCTGGCAATTATGAGAAGCACATTAAAGCATAACATATACAAGCTTTTATTTTTCAAATTAGTTGCATCAAACAAGAAACCTCAAGAGCAAATTGAAAGTTAAAACAAAGCAGATCAGTCCATTCTCCCTTTTAATTAAAGATAGTTTTTTCTAACAAGGTCTAGGAAAGGGGTGTTTAATATTCTCACAATTGCTTTATAATTCTGGGGACATGTCCGTGATGAAATCAGGTTATAACCAATCATCCCTAGCTTTGGGAGCTTAAGGAGAGTTCCCACTGAAAGGAAGAGCTACTAGCAAGACATTATTAATCAGATCTGGCTACATAATTTGTAAGACCTAGTGCAAAATGAAAATGTGGAACCCCGTGTTCAAAATTTATTAAGAATTTGAAGACCCTGACAGCTGAGCTTTAAACTAGACCTGTTATTAATAGTTCATAGTTTCAAAATTCTAACAATATCTTTAAATTGAGTGGGTGGTCTATTGCACTAGAATGGGTATGAGTTTTGTATTTTGTTTATTTCAGTATGCTTATAAAGGAATTATCTTTAATCCCAGTCATCTTATTCAAAATAGTGAAAGCTCCCTGTGGGATTTCCATCAAAAATCACAGGCAAAAATGGTTGATTGTTGAAATCAACCATAATCCTAAAAACAGTTTGGAAAAATAAAGTCCCTAACAGATTTTATTGTCATTCTGTATTGTTTATCATATTCAGGCCAAAAAAAAATTTAGTGAGTTATCCTTCTACAAACTGTATTTTGATAGAGGCAAATGCTCAGTTTCAAAATACTACAGTTATATCTTTGCATAAATTGTTTTGCATTAGTACATGGGCTTGGCATCTACCCTTAAGGAATAGGACATTTCTCTCAAAGATCTTTTTATATCTTATTCAATTTTGGATTTATTTTTTCCTTGCTCTATAGAGGGTTTCTATCTTAAGAGCAAATAAGTGTTCAAGAAATCAACTGAGTTTGGAATTTCTGCACTGTCATTCCAAATAGCACTAATTGGATTTAGTGTGTAAGGCTTTTCTTTCTTCTTATTAAATAAATGATAGGGCTGCAGTGCCAGCCGTACCTGGCAGGGAGTCCATAGCTCTTTGCTCTAACTCAAAAAGGGCTTTTCTGGGCATCTAATTCAATAGACTGTTGCAAAAAAAAGGCAAGCATCCTTAAAAACCCCAAACTTAAGACAGATAACACAAACCCAAACTACCCATTCCTAAAAAGAGATGACTCACCTGTTCAAGATCATTGCTCTTCCGTGATTTGTATATAAATTCTCCAATGGCTACAAATACAGAAAGGACCAGTCCAGCAGCCAGAACAATGAAGATGCCCCCGATATTTTCTACCCCCAGAGCGCTGGCCTCTTTGCTGTCTTCCTCAGGGCAGCCGTTTCCCCGCCACCACTTCTCTTTCATCATATGCAGCTTCCCCTCTTCTTGTAGCTGAAGAATTGCAATAGTGATTTTATCCCGGTAAGGAGAGCCTGTAAGTAAGGTCATTTGGTTATTGGTTACCAAAAAGTCGAAGAAGATGTCAGAAGGGATTATGGACTTCCAGGTAACTACTTTATGGCTGTTGGGAAACCCCAATCCACAGATTGACTGGCAAAGGGCAAGAAAGTTGAGTCCTATATTTTGAAGGCTCTAAATAATTGGAAAAGGGATAACTGACATGTTGAGATGAACTCTTGCCCCAAATGTCTGTTCCTTTTAAATAAGGAAAGTTGATCTGGGAATTCTGTGACATATGTCTGCTTCTGGTGAGTTTCTTGTGAATCTTTTCCCATTTTAGGGGATTTGGTTGTTTACATTTTACTTGAAGAAGGTGGGGTCCCAGAATGACTGCATGGAGCACAGTCTTTCTTTTAATTCATATGGGACCATGACAAGGTCAAGAAATAAACATTTACTGTGTAAGCCATTGGAAATAGGCAGATGCTGGTTATAGTAATTAGTCCATACTAATACATCTATTAATATACAACTAAGAGTAGGTTTTGAATAACTCAAAGGTCCTACAAAATTCAGTTAGATTTGGAAACTTTAAAAGGATTTTATTGATATTATTTATACTCTATCTTCTAGTAATACCATTGAACTTTTAATTCTGTTAGGCTAATAGATATCTGCAGGTAACCACAGCTTGCCCAGTACTGGACTCCTATGTTAATTAATGCAAAGGAAGAGACACAAAGGTGTGGTAAGATTCTTTTACTCAATTTCTCCTCAGATGCTAAGAACGCTTGTTAGTATTTCTTCTACTCAATGGGAAAGTACTGCACCCTGGCTCTTTCTGTTTGCAGACTTTAAAATTCTTGGTAAAAATAGAAAAATGCAAAAAAAAATACAGTAAACAGAAAGACATGGCATCTTAGAAGCAGAAAAGATCTTAGGACTCAAATAAACCCATCTACTTCTTTTGGAATTGAAAGAATTTTGGATGTGAAAGTAATAGCTACTGGCAAAGAAGAATTTAACTCAATTATTTTTACTTCTTGCCTGGTGTTATTTCCATAAAAGCTGACTCCTCCACCCCCTACACAGCTCTGCATAACCAGCCTCCACTTAGGACTTATGTTAAATTGGAAAAGCAGAGGGCTAACACTGTGGCACTTGTCATTGTTGTGTTTTGTTTTTTCTTTTCTTCCAAGGCTTCCCAAAGTCATTGTCAATACTCACGATCAACTAAAAGAAGAGTAAAATGTTTTGGAATTAGATTGCGGCTTGTCAGTGAAGAGTATAGATTTTTGGTGAGAAAATGGCTCTTCAAAGTCAAATTAAAAGATACTGGCTGCTTGCTTAAACACCCCCAGAGTAACACTTAGTGTCAAAATTAGCCCCATTGACATACTCATAGCATGTGAGCCATTAAATGAAGCAGGAGAGCTTTGCTTTAATGTACAATGAAGTGCTTTGAAGAGTATAAGAATGATTCTTCGGTAGGGGTTGCAAGCAGTAATCATAGCAGTATACACAGTGGGCACTCAATAAATGTTGGCTGACTCTCTCCTTCTGCCTTTAGGCTGAACGATACCTAAAACACTTCAGACAGACGGGGAATGGGTCTCTATTTAAAGTTGTTCTCTAAGGAAGGTAATTTCCAGCCTTCTGGTAACCTGCCTAAGCCTTAACTGTTCTCATTCTCTTAAGTTTTATTTTAAGTCCCTCTGGAAGTACATTTCCAGAACTTCTATCCTTAGAATCTCTAAGAAACAATATTGTGTTGTGCCCGCACTGACTTTGCCAATCTGACAACGGGAATTGGAGCCCTAAATGAATCAGTCAGGGCAAGACAAGAAGGGTACAGAGACATTTCTTATATCAGAATATATTTTAGCTTCAATGTTAGTTGTTGTTACTTAAATGGACTGAATGACATCAGAAGTGACTTATTACAAGTCACTTGAAAAAATATATATGCATACACACAGATCTTCTTGAATAGCAACTGATCTTTCTTAAAGAGTCAATTCATCATAGAAGAAACTTCTCACAAATTTATTCAACAGCTGTATTCCCATCGATGTATTCTCTCTGAGGTCTGCCATCTGTTCCAATTATTCCTTCATTGTTTTTGGTTTAAAAGCATGACAGGTTTATAAACAGTATGAAAAATTCCTGGAGTGTATTTCTTTTCATCTAGGGAGGGGGAAAGATTCTTCAGCTTGAAATTTGTATGTCAGAGTATGGTTGAGGTTGGCAAAAAGTAGAGTGAACTGGAACATTCCAACCTCTATCATATTATATAAAATAGAGTGATACTCATTAGAGGGTCAGCCACACTCACAGGAAGGCAGAGTAATTTTCAAAGTGCTACATTAATCCGGGAGTGTTGCAGAAAGGAACCCCCTTTTCCTCACCCATCCCACCCCCTGTCCAAAACTATAGTTTTAGAGTTATAGTCCATTCAGTAGAAGAAATGCCCATTAAAAGTCTCATATTAAGGTATAAGTACTTGGTCAAAGTGGAATTATGAGGTGGAAGATGAAATGATAAAAGTGCATTTTCAACTTTATAATTTAATTGAAAGATAGTTCCATTATGAAACTACAGTTGCTCTTCTGAGATGATGCAAGATATAATCTTTTTTAAAGTCTTGATTCTGAAGAGATTCAGGCAAAAATACTGGTATTCTTGTCTGACTTGTGGCCCATTTAACTAATATCAGCATTATGGGATATTAAGAAATAGCATTGGTCTATAGCTCCCTGAGCACTACAATCTAATATGAGATGACAAAGCTTGATTTGAGAGAGGACATTGTTTTTCAAATAAAAAAGAGACAATATCATTTTAGTTAGTGTTTAACAATCCCACAGAGCCCTCTGACTTAATTATAGGAGAGATTACCATTTGGGAAAAAAATATGCACTTCACTAGCAATATTGGTATTTTTATCAGGAAAAGCTATTGGAAATAAAAGGACAAGAAAGTAGTTGTAGTTTCCTCAGTTCAATGATTCTTCAGAAGAATTATTTAGAGGACATACATGATAACAATAATAATAATGGACTTAATTTCTCTGTAACTTGTATTTCTAATTCCAGATAGACAGCTGGAACTCAAATTAGTTCTGTATTCATGGTAAAAGGTTAAGAGAGTTGACTTTTACTTGGTTAATCATATTAGTACTGATCAGAAGTTGTATATGGGATACATAGCTTTTTTAAAAAAATTAATTCACTGACAAATTAAAACATCAATGACAGTCCACCTAAAATATGATTTTTTTTTCATGACAAATGGAGTATCCAACAACCTTGTGCCCAAATTCCCACATGTATAATTGACTGGCCTGGAATACAGCTGCCTGTTTTAGATGAGTCATGTGCTCTAATTCTCCGTACTTGACTATAACTAAGATTTCTGCTTATTGGACTAGCCCAGTGGTCTAAGATGGGCCCTGATTCCTCTCTTTGTGATGCTTATCAGAAAATTATCAATGATTCACATATATGAGAAGAGCAGATTGCCACCATACCAGAACATCACATGATGTAATTTTCTATGTAGAGGGAAATAAAGAGTTTTCTATAGAGAGGAAGTCAGTGTTGTCCCTTGAATATAGACCTTACTGTATTGGTCTGTATCCTTGCAAGGCAATAATATCCCTAGGGAAAGCATTAGTACAAAATCAAAGAATAAGAATATTTGAGGTTTTAGATAGTTATCATTCATTGAATCTGGCATATTGCCTGAACAAATTATTATGTAATTTTTATCCCTTTTCTGTTACAGATACAGTTTTGCTTTTATATCTGCTGATATGGAATCATAGACCTCTTACTTTTATTATCTTTATGTGTAATTAATTTTGTTATGTTCCAGTATAATTTAAGGTAGAAAACTATATGGGCATAGAAGAAAATAATGTCGAGAGGATTAATTAGGAAGATATTCTTTTTAAGATATATGTCAGGTTAAAATACTAAAACCTATGCACTCAAATGGGTATCTAGTGGTAGAACCCAAAAGAAATAGTAGGTTTAATATTTACTAGCTTAAGTATCTGGGAAATTGCCAATTCACGGCATGTCTGTGATCTGTATGGGCATTTCCCTTATATATTAGTCCATGAAAGGCATGTAGACCTCAGAATGTGGAGTTGACATCTCTGAGTCTATTCCTTTCCTTCTTTCCTTCATAATTGACAGTGCACATCAGTCTTGGCTAATTAGCCTTGCCTCTCTTACCGATAGGCGTTCCCACTCCATAACCTTTGGAGTCAATGAGGCCCCCAATCTGCGTGAGGTTGCAGTTTCTCTGTGTCACATATTCAATGCTGGTGGACTCCATCAGCAAGGCATAGTCAGTGGTGAGCGCTCGTCGGATCCCTTCGTCCCCGTTCTGCACCAGGGCCGTGTGCTGCCTGCTGCTCATGAAAGCCCACATCTTCTCGTAGGTGGATATCTTTGATTTCTACAGGGAAAGGAAGCATACCCACCAGCAGAAGAGTGCTGAAAAAATACGTCCTAAAGTTATTCAGATTCACAGTGGTTCAAATAATACAGGGGAAGATTCTTTCTTCCCTTGAGACAGAAAAACAACACCGATGCTCCTGGGCTTTCAGGCCGGTGGCCGGAGGGAGCCCAGGCCACTATAGGGAGACATCTGGAGGCCTTTGAGCAGCTACTGAGAAACAGGAGATCCTGCCGGATTGATGTAAGACATTGACTCAAGGTCCTTTTGTTGATTTCACTTAGGGACAGCATTTGCCTAATGAACTGTGGTCGCTTATGAACAAGTCTTCAAGGTCCACTGGGCCACGGAGTCTGGCTCACTCCAGGACTCTGCTCGTTTACTCCATCTCCCTTCCATGACTTAACTTCAGCAGACACTGCTTTACTCTTTACTGGGTATGCAGATCTCAACACCTGATCCAGCATTCCTTTGCTGGGGACAGCCCTGGGATAAATCATGTGCTTTCTCTGATTTGTTTATGATGGAATTATCTTTCACTCTTATCTATTCTAGAAAACTTAGAATACAAATGGTCTTTTCAAATTAAAATTAGATCAGAAAATGCTTTGTTTTTATATGTGTTTTTTATGTAGATATTCAATTTTTAATTGCAATTATATTTTAGATAATGAGGACTGAATATTCAGTGTCCTATGATTTTGTCTTTTGCCTTATGCTTCAACTTTTTGATAAATTCAATAATAAACCATATTTATGATACATTAGCTCATCTTTCTTTGTTAAAATATATTGCCTAAGTTTTCATATTGCTTAGATATGAATTTTCTATTCTTTTGAAGAATGATCTGTGATTACACATTTTACATTTTACCCTGTAATATCCATATTGTTCCCTTTTTTTTCCTGAATTTGTCTTAATTTAAATCAACATTCCTTTTAATTTATTTGGAAGATGAAAGACATTATGGGAATTGCTGATAATTCTGAGCTAATTATTATTACTGATGATTCCAGCTCTCACACATGTATATAGTGTCCACACACACAAGCCAGTTTCCTTGGCAGGCACAGGGTGTTTCATCTCAGGAGGGTAGAGAAGCTTAAAATATGATTTGGAGTCATAAGCAATAAATGGAATACTTGTGGAATAAACTCTAGCATAGTTATTCATGCTCAAGCATTCCTGAGGGCTCACTCAATTCCTAAATCTATTTAAGACCTGGGTTAATACTGTAGGCTTTATGAGTTAGGAGAGGACAGATGGCTTTATTTTGGATTGTTAGTCATTTGAAGGGCCCCTTGAGAAAGGCCTTGTGAGACAAACAACAATTCAATAAATAGTACCTTATAGGCACTGGTATTTAATGGAAGCTGTTCTGTCATGATTAGACCACTGTGAATTATCCTTACACCCAGTGATATCTGCAAATTGGAACTCATGTCTCCCTGACAAAGACATATTTGGGGGGTCAGGGTCAATGCCTAATTTGTTGTGTGATTTTAGCCTCAAAGAGTCTGATAATGCTATATTTATAATAAAGAGCTGCTCATACAAGTGCAGGGGGTGAATCTGTGGCAGTAAATGGAGAGCTGGAAAAATTATTCCTCCATCAGGAAACTACCTTAAGGAAAAATAATTTTCTTGGAAATATGAAATTTTAAAGTTGTCAGAGACTTTGGAAATAGGCTCATTCAAACTGCTGTTTTCATGGAGGAGGAAATTTTGGTGAAGAAGGTTTGGAGACTTCATGAAAGTCACAGTACCAGTTAATATAAGAGCTAACACTAGACCACAGGACTGCGCACATCTAATTCAATGCTCTTTCCACTGTACCATGGTGATAATGGGTAAGTGGATGTCCATATTGCCACAGTCTAAGAGTTATTTTAATTTTATTTGATCTACCTGTGACAACATAGCTCATATTCATGGAACTCATTTTATTCCCTGAGGCAGTTTGCTATTGAAATCATGTTAATACAAACTAGGAGCCAGCCTCCATATAAAAAATCCCATTGAACATCTACTTTTTGTCAGTATATTTAAATTTTATTAAAAATGAGTGTCATAAATTGTTAGAAAACTGGATTTTTAGTCTTTGGAAGTCAAAGACAAAACAAAGTCAACAATCAGTTCATTCATTGTAAATGGAAAAAGTGTGGGGATCTGTTATGGCATTCAAGAACTGAAGGAGATGTAAAGATTCAATTCACTAATAAAATGAAATTGAAAAAACAATTTGTACAAAAATACAGAAGAAGATGACAGAAAGAGGGCTAAGTGAAGCTGAAATCACCAATCTTCTTGATAAAGATTTCAAAATAAAAATGATAAACATGCTCATGGAGCTACAGAAAAATATTCAAGATGTTAGGAAGGACTTAAAGAAAGAGATAGAAATTCTGAAAAATACATCTGAAAAGAAACATACAATTGAGGGATTTAAAAGTAGATTAGATGAGATAGAGGAGACCATAAATGAAATAGAAATTAGAGAACAGGAAAACAAACATGCTGAGGCACAGAGAGATAAAAGGATCTCTAGGAATAAAAGAATAATAACAGAACTGTACAACTAATCCAAATGCAACAATATTCACATTATAGGGATACCAGAAGAAGACGAGAGAGAAAAAGGTACACAAAGTGTATTTGAAGAAATAATTGCTGAAAGCTTCCCCAATCTGGGGAAGGAAATAGTCTCGCAGGTCATGGGAGTGTAGAGATCGCCCAACAAAAGGGATCCTAGGAAGACAACACCAAGACATATAATAATTAAAATAGCAAAGATCAAGGAAAAGGAGAGAGTATTAAAAGCAGCCAGAGAGAGAAAAATGATCACATATAAAGGAAAGCCCATCAGGCTAATATCAGACTTGTCAGCAGAAACTTCAGAAGCCAGAAGGCAGTGGCATGATAATATTTAATGCAATGAAATGGAAGGGCCTCCAACCAAGAATACTCTTAGTGGCAAGATTATCACTTAAATTTGAATCAGGGATTAAACAGTTTCCAGACAAGCAAAAGTTGAGGGAATTTTCCCTCAACTTCTCTACCCTCCTGTATGAGCACAAACCATCTCTATAGTGCATCTTAAAGGGACTGGTATAGATGAAAGTGCTCCTAAGGCTAAATAACTGTCACCAGAGAAAATAAAATCACAGTAAAGGAAGTAGAGCAATTAATTACTGAGTAAATGCAAAATTAAATAAACTACCCACAAAGTCAGTCAAGGTATACACAAAGAGTACAGAATATGACACCTAATATATAAAGAGTGGGTGAGGAAGAACAAGAAGAAGGGAGAAAAAAAGAACCTTTAGACTGTGTTTGAAATACCATAATAAGTGAGTTAACTTAGATCTTAAGGAAGCTGTCCTTGAACCTTTAGTAATCATAAATCCAAAGCCTGCAATATCAATAAGTACATTTCGATAATCACCCTAAATGTAAATGTACTGAAAGCACTAATCAGAAGACATAGAATTACAGAATGGATAAAAAAACAAGAACCATCTATATGCTGCCTACAAGAGACTCACTTCAAACCTAAAGACATACACAGGCAAAAAGTGAAGGGATGGAAAAAGATATTTCATATAAATAACAGGGAGGAAAAAGCACCACAGAAATACAAAGAACTATTAGAGAATACTATGAAAAATTATATGCTAACAAATTGGATAACCTAGAAAAAATGGACAGCTTTCTAGAAAAATACAACCTTCCCAAACTGATCCGGGAAGAAGCAGAAAATCTGAACAGACCAAGTACCAGCAATGAAATTGAAATGGTAATCAAAAAACTACGTGAGGACAAAAGTCCTTAGAGAAGACCTAATACCCATCCTCCTTAAACTTTTCAAAAAAGTAGAAGAGGAGGGAAGACTTCCAAACCATTTGATGAGGCCAGCATCACTCTAATACTCAAACCTGGCAAAGACACCACATAAAAAGAAAACTACAGACCAATATCCCTGATGAACATAGATGCAAAAATATTCAACAAAATATTAGCAAACTGAATTCAAAAATACATCAAAAAGATCATCCATCATGATCAAGTGAAATTTATTCCAGGGATAAAAGGATACAGTATTTGAAAATCCAACAACATCATGCACTATATCAACAAAAAGAAAGACAAAAATCACATGATCATCTCCATAGATGCTGAAAAAGCATTTGACAACATTCAACATCCATTCATGATAAAAACTCTCAACAAAATGGGTATAGAGGGCAAGTACCTCAACATAATAAAGGCCAAATATGACAAACCCACATTCAACATCATACTTAACAGTAAAAGCTGACAGCTTTTCCTTTAAGATTGGGAACAAGACAAGGATACCCACTCTCCCCAATTTTATTCAACAGTGCTGGAGGTCCTAGCCACGGCAATCAGACAACACAAAGAAATACAAGGCATCCAGACTGGTAAGGAAGAAGTTAAACTGTCACTGCAGATGACATGATATTGTACATAAAGAAACAGAGAAGAGAATTAATGACTCTATAGCATCTTACTATGCTGGTGGACATTGACTGCAACGGGGTTAGGGGGAGGACTGGCGAATGTTGAAACCACAATGTTGCTCATATGAAACCCTCATAAGATTGCTTATTAATGATATGTTAATAAATAAATAAATAAAATAAAATAAAAGAGATATTTTCCTATTCAAAGACCACAAAAAAAAAAAAAAAGAAAGAAAGAAAGAAAGGGATTTACTTAAGGACCTTTTGACTCCCAGGTTCTGCTCTCTAGACCAACCCCTTCATATTACTTATGCAGGTCCTGACTTCAGGCACAATTAAGTGACACACAAAAGGTCATATATGGTCAGTAAAAGAGCCAGTACAGAATTAAGGTCTTTTTCTTCCTTATTCTTGAGTTCTGTCCACTGTCATGCCCTGTGCTGTAATGTTTACTTTTCTTAGGTCAAAAAGTACTATTTGGGGGTAAATTAGATTCATTCCTCTTTAAAAGACTT